TCTCCACAATATAAATTACGTCGCTTGTTTGTTTTTATCTTCTATAGATATTAAGAAAAAGCGTACTGGTTTGGCTGGGTTGAGGAAGAAATCCAGTAACACTAAGTGCATTTTGGTGTCTCATAACATTGTCACATTAATGGAAGGACAAGGAGATGGAAGGGCAGCAAGCACTCCACTTGTAGGTACAGTATAAGCAAAAGGCCAGAGGGAGAACATTGTAGGTGTTATGTTTAGGAAACATGGTGTAGTCCAGTTGTGGTTTTATATGCTTTATACCAAGGAGAGTAGGGGCAGATAATGCTGGCAAGTTGGGTTGGATTCTTTGCTGGGAGAATGGAGAGCAACAGGGCTTGAATGAATTCAATATCCTTTTCCACCCTCCAGCCCCCTGCCCAAAACACAGAGCACAGAACCAGAACTCAAATTTGCATCATAAATTTTATTCCCGATGCGGGACAGATTCCTTCCATCCCCAAAATGAATCCCATGCTGCCCTGGAACGACCTAGGAACTCTCCCACCATATCTCCAGAAAGGAGTGAGAAAAGCAAGCGCTGGGGACGGGAAAGCTTTTCAGTTCCCCAGCCTACTCATCCTCCTCTTCTCAACAGAGGGTAGCGGCTCCCCACTATTATTCCTCTCATCCACTCATCCTTTGGGGGGAAAAAAAGAGCCATCACTATTTTAAAAAACCACCTCGAGTATTGGGGGGAGGAGTCCCGAGCTGGGAATGAGGTTATGGGTCACCAACGGAAGAGGGAGGGGAAGAGGAGAGCTGCCATCACTGTTTCTGCTGCAGGGCTTCTTTCCTTGCCGCATCCTGTAGCAACTGTGTGTCAACCTCATCTGCTGGCAACTGCACATAGCGGACCACTGAACCCCGGATGAAGCAGTTCTTCACTGATAACTAGACAAAGATAGACAAATGTGAAAACACCCTTAAAAATGCTCTCTGGGCTGGCTGGTTAGCTCACTTGAGAGAACGTGGTAGTGATAACACCAAGGTCAGGGGTTCAGATTCCCATACTGGACAGCTGGTAAACAAAACAAAATGTCCTCTAACCACCCAGGGGCCTCCTGTTTTGGAGGTGTTTTCTTTTCTCCCCCATCCCAAACTCACCATGTGAGGATATTTCTCAGGGTCTGTGACACTGATGTCAGTTAGTTTGATGTTGAGATACTAAGAAAGGAAGATGAACACCATCACTAACACTACAGGCAAGACACAAGTACCCAACCTCTAAGCTTTCCCCTCTCCTTCCCCAAGAACTGATTTGGGGCCCTTGCTTTATCTCACCTGATCCACAGAATGGAGGGTTCCACAGATGCTGTCAAGAGCAGAGGGAGGAAAGAACCAAGTTAGTTCACACCAAAGTCAACATAGAGGTGACTTCAGAGCTGGGATGAGAACATGGTTTGGGGAAGTCAAGGACTTAAGGAAGCCAGAAAAGATGGAACAAAAATGGGACAATCCTAAGCCCTGGAGAAGGAAAGACAGAGTTGCCAGAGTGGTTTATTTTAGACC